AAGTCAAATTTTTAGGTTTTGGGTTTTGAAACAACGGATCAACGTCATGGTATACGGCCAGTAAACCAATAAGTGCTCCGTTATTCTTTCTAACTCAAGTCTGAGTCAAAAGAATCTCAGCATAGGCGCTGTGGCACCGGCAAAGATCCTAAAATACTTTGTGTACATTTTTAACTCCAAAATGTTGCCCGGGCAGCGTCGTTTGGCTGCTCTTTTCTATTTCCAACTGCCAAGAGATTTTTTTTCAAATGTGCGCAACAATGCACACGGGCGTCCAATCTCACTGCCCAGAGATGGGGGGAGGGGGCGGGGGGGGGGTTTACCAGAAGTAAAAATCTACGTGAAAAAATCCTAGCCGTTACCAGGCATTGAACCCGGATGTCATTACTTAGAGGTTTGGGGTAAAACATTACCAAATGTTTAAGCGCACTCCGTCACTAGGTGCATGAAGCCAATGTCTTCTGTTCTAATTAATAGCTAGTGATAATGTAGCAGAAGGCAGAGTTAAAAGATGGCAAACAAATATGCTTTTATTATTACTAAATGTGCGTGCGCATTTTTAAATTTCTCGTTATCTGTGTACGGGGAGTATATGCATACGTGTATGTATGTGTGTGTGACGGAGGCCTAGCAGGCGGGGTGCACATCTTTGTCAACAGTATTAGTATACACGGCCCGCGGATCTGCGTCAACAGTAGTAGTATATGCGGCCCGCGAATCTGTGTTAGCAGTATTGGTATATGCGGCCCGCGAATCTGTGTCAATTGTATTGGTATATACAGCAGTACAATTGGCAAAGATCCACGGGCCACTTGTTCAGCCTGATGCCTGATTTATTGATGATTTGCTCCCACTTACATCTCAATGTACCTCTTGCTCGCTTGCCTTCAACCTATTTCTGGCTTTTGTGTACTATGTATTTTAATGTTGCTGAATATTGGCACTTGCCGCATGTATTTATGTCAGTATATATGTTGTGATACCTAGCTGAGAATTATTAGCCTAATTACTGAAGTTAATAGGTTCAAATTTTGCCCGGGCAGCGCCGCAAGCTACACTTTTCGATACAGTGACGTGGGATATTACCTAACGAGAAAGGATGTATATTTTTGTGGACAACATCACGCAGGCGGTCTTTGCTTGCCAGGACATTATCAAGTACAATTTTAAGTCTGAGTCAAACTTAGAGCCAAGGTCATTCCTGAGAAAATTTCTGCTCCCTAAAGATTCCACGAACTTAGTATCCGCCGACAAGTTTCAGTAACTAATAACCTACAATCTTTCGTCTGCAGTAGAAAATCAATACAGAAAATAACATTTTCTAATATCCTGAAACTTCTATAGGCAAAACCTTACTGGCCTGTCCCTAGTGCAGATAGTATGATAATATAATATAGACAAACACATATGTAACTACTTTGTACCTACAGACAGCCATGATAACTAATTCTAAAAGTTGATAAATTCTAAAAGGCACAGGTCACTAATCAAAAACACTAGAACGATAAAGTCGAAATTTTAGAAATTTTTAGAATTTGACCTGGTCTCTTAGTAGTAAGATCGGACGCCGTATGTATTCTTGCCCCCACAAAGAAATCCTTTGCCACTGGAAATCGAAAAGAGTAGCCTAACGGCGCTGATGGCAAAATTTGGAATTAAAAATCTACCAAACGTGCTTAAGGATCCTCTTCTTCTTCTTCTTCGCGTTCATCGGCTGTAAATTCCTGACTAAGGTTCTGGTTGTTCGTCTACTTATGGAATCTAGTCCTGTTAAAAAAACTAAGTGTTGCGTGCACATCTATTTCACAGATGTGTCTCATTTGCATGTAGACTGTTGGTTCCTTACCTTTCAGGCAGACGTACTTCGACTTCGCAGGAAGCTTCATCTTAGTCGACTCTTCTGATATGCATTCGAACAGGCAGTGGGTCTATTCTTGTTTTTCCCACAATGGGTCTCCTGAACCCACTCGGGTAGTCCTAATATTTATAATCAAAGATAGCAGATATAACCTATTTCAACTTTATTTACGTGCTTAATAAACTAGGGACATAACGCAACCCAGTTTGAATTGAAGTGCTATATAATTCATGGTTACTTCCCTCAACTTTCCTTAGTGTTTCCTGTTGACGTCCTAAAACCTACTTATTCACGACAACCATCTAAAGAAATAAAAAAAAAACAATTTTTTGAAACGTTTTGATATTTAAAATTTTTTTTTTTTTTTACAATTAAAAACTCGTAACACGGCCCCTAATCTTAAATGACTACAGGAGCGAGTCATACACGCTCTGTTAACTTTAGTGAAACTGTAATGGGGTGCCAAGTGTCAGGTGATTTTTTAACTGATATATTTACCGATGCAGTGACTCAGGTCTTCAACTTGATTGTCTTTGGAGTCATCTGTCAAGTAACTAGTATCTTTGGTGTGGCGACAAACATAATTAACATTGCATGTTTTATCAAACAAGGATGTCACGATCCGGTTAACGTCCACTTTATTGGTATGCTCCCGGTGTTATGTAAGATTATAAATTCGAAAACACATATAGGCTGAAACATGTTCAATTAATTAAGGTTAAATCCTTTTTTGTTTTTGGGTCTGTTATACTTGTGACAACAAATATTATATTGTATATTCGTTTTACACTGCATGAACCATGTATTGTGTGTTAAAAAAATATATCACAGAGATATTAATTTCTGGAATTTCATCTAAATGTATCAAACCACATCCTTTGAACATACATAAACATGCAGCCAATTTCCCAAATTATGCAGAATGATGAGCCTAATAAGATAGCATTATGGTACATTTATGTATGTTACTGCATTTCTCTTTCAAACTGATGACCCCAAGTGCTCGTAGATTTGCTTTGATATTATCGTCAACTATCTTGTTGAGTGCCTTGTAGTACAGGGTAATTTCAGGTTATGTTGTGTATATGTATATTATATATATTATATATATATATATATATATATATATATATATATATATATATATATATATATATACATTAGGTCTGTACCGAATATTCGCTTTGTATTCGCTTCGAGGCCGAATAGTGGACATATTGGCTATTCGGTATTCGGCCGAATAGTTGCGGTCAGACAGAATACGAATAGCAGTTCTTACACTCTGTCGCGCGCCCACGTGGGTAAATACACTGATATAGTGAGGGTGTGGGTTTGATCCTTAACAATGCCCACCCACGTGAGAAACTGGACTATTATCTAAGCTATGTTGATCCTAGACAGTCCTGGATAGCCAAGAAAACAGCGAGTGGCTCGTTCCATGAAATGAAAGTTGCTGTACTTGTATCCACAGGAGAAGGAGAAGGGATAGATAGATAACTGGATACACCCACTGTGATATAATCCAGGTGCTCATTTAACCCCTCCGAATGCTCTCCTCTCCTGGCATTACTTAAAAGCCCCCATCAAGTGATTTAAATATTTGTTAGCTGAAGTAAACTAATATGCACAAAGACACTTGAACCTATATACACAATTTACTCAACTATCATGAAACTCATCACACATGATTTATTTACTAAATCTGACTAAAATAAAATGAACTTGTTTAGGCTAGTAGAGTTGGGATGATGTTATAGATGACATTAAAGTTGTACATAACTTAGCTCATCAGGACAGTTCTCGGCTTCGGCTTGAGACCCTGCCAATCTTTTCCAGTTTGTCGTCCTCACTGCTTTCTGCAGGTCGTTACACTCGACGGTCGGCAAATAATGGATGCCTACTAGTCTCTGCCCAATGTGGGAACTGTGATAAAGAAACAAGCGCATATTTGTAGTATCTGCTCTAGATGTACACTAAGCATGTATATTATACTAATCATCAAGCATGTTTATTTAAATAAAACATTTCATCTCTCCCTCATGCTCACATTCACTCCTGTCCAATTTGGAAGGGCTTATGTCTCACATTCCAACTGTTACATCTTCTGCCTTCCTCTACACGTCCTGTAATGATAGTCAAGTCTTCTACGTCAGTGCCATCTCTCGTACAGACTCAAATGACAATCAGTCAGACAGAACCAGTTCTGGAATCTATGCTTGGAACAATCGACGCGCCCAGAATGCTAACAATAGTTCTGGTGCGAATCAAATAACAAATCTCGTGGATTTACTCTCCGGGATCAATCTCCGCATTAGCCTCCCGAGAGTTAAACACATTTCAGTGTGTAAGCTGTATGTAATACAGATTCACGTTAACCACACGTGAAAAGATTGCCAAAGTTATCTTCACGCTTGTGATTTCAAAAACATGATAGTTCATTAAATTTCAATGGCAACAACAACATTTAGGTTTTACAACATTGAAACACACGTGCACGAAAAAACATTCATGACACTATAAGTTAGGATATAAAGCAATGTGACAGTGCCCTACGAGAATGAAGAAATGTCCGCCTAGGAGTATTACAAAGTGATGAAGACACACACTTGAGCAAAAAGACAGTTAGATCTCTATCAGAAATAAAATAAAGGTTTTGAACCTAATTTCGATTTTACCTGGGAAAATGAAACCACGATGCCAAAAGTTCTGTCTCAAGCTTAGGTTAAGCCCAACAGATGGCATGTGCTAGACAGGATCTCATTTACCAGACCTTAAGTTCACCACTTTATAACTTTTATCAAGCTCCTCCTACATTACGCCTAAAATCATTCTCATTCACGGATATCACAGCTCCTCCCTTGTGGGTAAGTTTATTCGCTGCCAGTCAGGGCTGTACAACTATTGTTTGAATTCTCACGCTAGGATCTCCTTGTTCAATTAAGCTGACCAGAGCAAATAAGACAAGTCACACCTCCAGTCTACTTCACCTGTCATCACAATAAAATCCGACTTTGTCAATTCTTCTGCCAACACTTTCCGCTCACTGTGTCAATAGTGACCGTCGGACCTGCCGTCGAGTTAGGTAACCTCAGGGGGAGATAATGGCAATTAGCCCTTGTTATCTGTTCCTGAAGGTCAGGCAGGGGGAATAACTATCTGACACCAACAAATGGTGTGCAAATCTCCAGTCAGTAAGTCTGCTTGGTCAGTCTTATCTCTGTACCTTAACACTTAACATCTGGGAAAAAGTTTTAGTGTTTGATATGACCAACGGTCCAGGAGAATTAAAGGTGTGATGTGGTCGTCTTACTTTGATTAAGGATGCATCCAAATCCCTATTTGTCTGTATACTTCAAAATACATACAAATAAAAGTAGGTTGAGGAAAGTCATTCTGAAGTCACCGCGCGTATTGTCACACACTCACTTCTGCATACACGGCCCAAATACTGACACCATGGAACGATTGGTTTTGTTGAAAACTAATGCAGCTTCCATGCATTAACTAAGCTGTCAGTGACAATTTCCAAGTTTAGATACTTGTTATAATACTTAGGATTCCTTCATCTGTTGTTATTAGTTACCACAGACTGACAGAAGGATGCAAAACATAAAATGTTTTTAAATGTTTACTATTGTGTACTTAGACATGGAAAGAATATAAACTCGGGTCAAATCCAAGTTGATAAAATGAAAATCAAACGAAGGGAAACATATAAGTAATTGGGTGCAAACTTCAACAGCTTCAACATTCCGAAAGAAGAAATACAATCTAGAATACATTCTAGAAATAAAGTATACCATGCCCTTCAACATCTGCTGTAGTCAAAGTTCTGTCTCGCGACACCAAGATCAAAATATATAAAACGTTGATAAAACCAATCGTTTTATATGGCTCTGAAACTTGAAGCAGAAATAAAAGAGATGAGGCCTTATTACAGGTTTTCAAAAACAGTCTTACGACAAATCTTTGGACCCATCAAAGATGCTAACAGCGGGGAGCAGAGAATGAGAAGCAACAGCCTAACACATAATTGTTTAAATCACCATTGATCACTTGCATCATGAGAGCTAACAGACTAAAATGGTTGGGGCATTTTAGTCTGTTAGCTCTCATGATGCAAGTGATCATTTTGAAAGAATGTCAGATGACAGAGAAGTAAAACTGTATAAACCTGAGAGAGGAATAGGCATAGACCACGAGGCAGACAAAAAAAAAAAAAGTTAGAGAGATAATGTTCAGTCAGACCTGCAAACAACTGGTATCACAAACTGTGAAGAGAAGGCCAGCCAGAGAGATGAATGGAGACGAGTGTTATCTGCAGCAGTAAACCTCAAGGGCTCAGAATGCTAAAGAAGAAGATGACTATTCTGTGCTACTTTGTGAAGTAAAAGTTCAGCGTACATTTGACATTATAAATGTTTTTTTTAAAAATAAATATTATATAGACTATACACAATTCGTAATCGTATTCGTTTTCAGCCGAATAGTGAAAATCACTTTTCGGTACAGCCCTAATATATATATATATATATATATATATAAAATATCGTCCTCGAATTTGTGAAAAGCAGACTCAAATGTTGACTAGTGGACTTTGCGTGGATTTTCGTAATGGTTACAAGGCAGTGGTCAGTTGTGTTTGAGACCATATTTCTGAGCATAGCTCGTGATGCCGGCATGAGAAAGCAGCAAAATGTATGGTAAACACCATTCACTGCCTACGCTACTAAAATCATATAAAAGGATAACGCTACACCAAACCATTCAGTTCAATTTCAAGCAGTAACAAATGACACCTTCATCGATAAACAAGGAATATTGTTATTGACCAATTGCAGGCAAGAGAAAGTCAAAGTCAGGTTGCCATGTATCTAAATGTGCATCCTAGTACCATCAGTCGACTTTGGCACTGGTTCCAAGCCACGGGTTTAGTAAAAGAATGACATCGCAGTGGACGACACAGAATAACAACAGCAGTGGAGAATCCTCCAGGACGTTATGTGTCTGATACAACTTTTCGGAACAGACCGCATGACATTGGACTCTGGGCACGACGACCAAACCAAGGATGCGTCGCCATCTCCCGAATCGACTTGTTGGATAACCAACATCTTTCCTGGGCAGGTTACAATCAATGGAGATGTTTCTGGTTCACTGGCGAGTATTTCTTTTTGATTCAGCATCATGACAGACGGCGTATGGTCTACCATAGGCGAAAGGAAGGTTTAGCCCACAATTGTGTTGATGAAGCTCTGCTGGACGGTGGTGGAGGCGTAATGGTGTGGAGAATTATCAGTTACAAATGAAAGGGTTACTTGGTGTGCACTGAAAGAATCTTGAATGTGCAACGATACTTTAATGAAATTCTTCTACCATATGCCCTTTAATTTTGGGATGCCAAAAGATATCATTTTTAACAATGCAACCTCAGACCCCTTTCTGGCTGCCAATAACATTAAAACTCTTCCTTGGCCATTTTTTATCTGCAGACATGAGTCCGATTAGGCACCTGTGAGATGAGCTGCAAATAAATGTTTGTCGCCAAGACCTCGCTACAGCCAATAATCGTGATCCGTTTCAGGCACTACAGGCCCACATAAGATATCTGATCGTGTTCAGGCCCAGGTGATGCCAGTCACTG